TCCTTTCAGTGCAGTTTGAGTGCCATAGCATAAATGGGTTTTCATACATGCAGAAATATGACTTTTTTGCAGCTAGCCAGCATAAAAGTCCTTAGGTGAAGTTGAAAAATGCAGGCTTGGAGCACAACTGGGTATTTCTGCAGGCAACATTTCCAGCAGCATCAGTTTCTCCAGCAGATGATACTATATTAGGAATACCAGAAGGGGAAGGGATGAGAATCACAAAATTGCCCAGAAAAAGTTGACTGCAGGAAAGGACCAACAAAAAGAAGCAGGAAACAAGAAGATGAATTCCACATAGCGGAAAAGTGGAGGAAAACAGAAGAGCAGCCTAGTAAATTAAATTTTAAAATGAGTATTTGCACAACATGTATTATGCCCCACATGCAATATTCTTAGAAATTTGCAGTACCTAGAAAAGCAATTTCATTTTTGATTGTGTATAATCAAATAGACAATCAGACAATGGAAATGATAGGAGTTCCTCTTGATATGTAGCAAAACTGTGTTTCTCGTTCATCTCTTCATTGTCAGAGCCTCATGCTTGATAGATGCTTGAAGACAAAGTTGTGTCGGTTGCTCCCAGGTTCCCTGTCGCTGTGCCCTTGCTATGAGGTTTTGAAATTCTCTTCCTCTTGCTCCTAATATCAAAAAAAGGCTCTGGTTGTTGTGAGATCTCTTGTCTGTCTGTCTGAGCAGAGCTTTTCCAGGCAACGCTAAACCACTGCCGCACGTCTCTGTGGGGCTCCTTAGTGCAGAAAATGGGATTTTGATGCATGGTGTGGAGTTGGGGAAGCTGTGCTCCAGTGGAATACATAGGAAACAATTCCACCTTTTTTGTGGAAGGGGGGGGGCTGAACTCAAGAGCCAGTCCTGAGAAAATGGGAATTGCAGCTCTATTCTGAGGTCTCTATGCCAGAGAAGATTTATTTTCCCTTAGCCCCAAATGCCACGCTAGGGATGAAGGGAGCTAACTGTGTTAATGAAGCACAACACAGGAATTTGGGAATCTCCTGGATTTTCTTAACTCAGTGTGTAGCTGCAGGTGTATCCCTGTGCTTCTCTTCTATAAAACGAAGCCAATATCTGCAACTCAGTATATTGAAACGTCAGTTTATTTTCTGATATGGTTAAGCTTGGTAATATTTGTGTGGGGAACGGATGCGTATGACTAATAGTTCTCCTGGCTGTTTGTTTCAGAACGCAGCTCTGCAGCATCTCTTCATACGGAAATCCTTCCGCCCCTTCAAATGCCTGCAGTGCGGAAAGGCCTTCCGGGAAAAGGACAAACTGGATCAGCACTTGCGCTTCCACGGGCGGGAAGGCAACTGCCCCCTGACCTGCGATATCTGCAACAAGGGCTTCATCAACAGCAGCGCCCTCGAGAGCCACATGAAGTTCCACATGGACCAGAAAACCTACTCGTGCATTTTCTGCCCCGAGTCCTTTGACCGCTTGGATCTGCTCAAAGACCACGTGGTGGTCCACATCAACGATGGCTATTTCACCTGCCCTACCTGTAAAAAGCGCTTCCCGGACTTTATCCAGGTGAGATGTCAGGAATTCCACCTTCCAGCTCTCTTGCAAGCGCTCTGTTGCCTTAATTTCACAGTAATGTGTTTGCATAGTACCATATGTCACTTCTTCACAAGCTGAAGGACACCTGCATCAGTCATAAATCGGAAAGGAAATTCAATCTGCCCATTCAGATTTGTGCCAAAATGTTATCGTTTTGTAGAAGCCTTTGCTAAGATATCAACTCTTTGATAAACTACTTGTAAGCCAGAGCAGATGCCTGCCAAAGCAGAACTGAGAGCTGTTTTTTGCCAAGAATTCCTGAGTCTGCTTTTCTATACGGTGTTTCCTCTAAAGAAATTCCCTTCCCCTGTGATCTGCACCGCTAGGTGAAGAAACACGTGCGCAGCTTCCATTCGGAGAAGATCTACCAGTGCACGGAATGCGACAAGGCCTTCTGCCGGCCCGACAAGCTGCGGCTGCACATGCTGCGGCACTCGGACCGCAAAGACTTCCTCTGCTCCACGTGCGGCAAGCAGTTCAAGGTAAGACGCTGCCAGGGCATTCCCAAATGGCCACCGGGTCGTGGTGGCCGCAGCAGCGTGCGCCTGGTCGCTTTCTTGTAAAACCCTGAGGGGTTGGAATGGAAGAAGCCCGTTTTAGTGTCTAGACTACTCTATCGAGTTGCCTTGTAGCTCCTGCTTGCAGAACGTGGTGCTGATGCCTTTTCTCCCCACGGCTCTGCCTGCAGAGGAAGGACAAGCTGCGCGAGCACATGCAGAGGATGCACAACCCAGAAAGGGAGGCCAAGAAAGCCGACCGGATCAGCCGCTCCAAAACCTTCAAGCCTCGCATCGCGTCCACGGACTACGAGAGCTTCATGTTCAAGTGTCGCCTGTGCATGATGGGCTTCCGCCGGAGGGGGATGTTGGTGAGTGCCCACGGGGTCTGGTTTCTCTTGGAAGCTTCTCTGCCTGGTTTTGTGGGCCCTTTTGGACTAAAGGGGCAATTCCAGCGGTGGGAACAAGCAGATGCTGAGAGACGGAGAATCTGGTAGCAGACCAGAGTGCTTTTGCTTTGCTCCGTTTTCAACCTGTGTATGTGCTCGCTATTATTTTTTTTTCTTTTTTTTCCACTTTGCTCCTGGTCCTGCCCTGTCACTGCCACTGTGAAAGGGTGTTTGCAATTAAGATCTCTGGCCGCCGGTGTCACGAGCGTTGTGATCTCTGCTAGCGAGATCTGCTTTCTGTTTCTTTCTCTTAGGTGAATCATTTATCAAAGAGACATCCAGACATGAAAATAGAAGAGGTGCCAGAACTCACGTTGCCTATCATCAAGCCCAACAGAGATTACTTCTGTCAGTACTGTGATAAGGTACGTAAGAAAGTCACCCATCAGAGGGTAGCTTGGTCCTGGATCTGTGTGCAACCAATTTGTCTGTGTACAAGAGCATCTGGCAGGGTTTATAGCTTTCTTGAAGCTTGCCAGCAACGTTTGTGCCAGCACTGCCTGAAAGGAATGAAGATGAAATGCACTTAAGCTAAAATATCTGGATGCTAACCGAAGATTTCGATTCTTTTCTGGCTTCAGAGTTAGTAAATCTGAAATACTCTGATCCAGCAAACGCTGACCCGCTCAGTCCTGCGGCTCCGTGACTAAGTGCTCAATCTGTCTGTACCTCCAGAGCACCTTCATGCCCTTCTCACTCCAAGTCTCCACCCCGCAGGTGTACAAAAGCGCCAGCAAGCGCAAGGCACACATCCTGAAGAACCACCCCGGCGCCGAGCTGCCCCCGAGCATCCGCAAGCTGCGCCCCGCGGGCCCGGGGGAGCCGGACCCCATGCTCAGCACCCACACGCAGCTCACAGGCACCATCGCCACCCCTCCGGTCTGCTGCCCTCACTGCTCCAAGCAGTACAGCAGCAAGGTACGGGGGGCAGCGCAGAGAGGGGCCTCTCCCTGCCGTGTCCTGCTGGAGTTTTGGGATCCCTCCGTCCCCAAACCCTTGGATTTTGAGCTGGCCTTGTGCTGTTCCCATAAGCACAACCTGCTAGTTTTGTGCTTGAAAGCCCAAATGGGAATCAACAGGCAAGTTGCAGGCCCTCTGATGCTCTCGTGTGTGTCTCTGCAGACCAAAATGGTACAACACATCCGCAAGAAGCACCCGGAGTTTGCTCAGCTCCCCAACACCATCCACGCGCCGCTGGCCACAGCTGTCATCAGCTCCACTCCTGCTGTTCTAACCACAGACAGCACTACCGGAGAGACTGTTGTGGTGAGGACACAGGAAATGTTAAATGGGAAGTGGCAGGCATTGGTTTCAAGCTTTGGACAGGGCAAAAATAGTAATAAAGTCCTGTTAGCCACAGATTTAAACCATTTTTTTTTATCCAAAGGTTTAAAACTGTACATAAAAGACTTTCTCTTCAAGTGGGTAGATTCAACCAGGGTGCTTTTAGGCTTTGTAAATCTGATCAGTTAGGTATAACTGTCCTTACACACTTTATCAATAGACTTAACCAAAGTGCCTCAAGGAGGAGAGGGCTCCTATGTCTGAGGAAGTGATCTTCCTTTTAGACATGGAAACCAAGACTCGGCCCCTTCCAAGGGCTTGATTTGTATTGCCAAATAGCATATTGCTAAGCCAGTAGATGATGATCGCTATAATTATCATACGTTGCTAGCCCTGCGTTTCTGCCCCTTCTCAGACAACAGATTTACTGACGCAAGCGATGACAGAGCTGTCCCAGACCCTCACGACGGACTATCGAACTCCTCAAGGAGATTTCCAGCGAATCCAGTACATCCCCGTGTCCCAGGCCACGACTGGCCTGCAGCAGCCTCAGCACATTCAGCTGCAGGTTGTTCAAGTGGCTCAGGTAGGTAACCTGCTGCAGCCCTTCACACTTTGGAGCCTTTCTGTGTCAAGCCAGCACTGCCTCGGGGCTACCCTTGAACATAAATGGTTTGATAATGCATAGGATTTAATAATGCAAAGCACTGTACTGGGTATAGGTGGTCCTGCCAGTTTTGGTCAGCTCCGTGGAGGCTTCTTAAAACAGCCCTAATGATTTCAGGCTGTCTGGGCACCCGCTGCCTATTTTGTGTGCGAAACAGAAGCAGCTCCCAGGCAAAGGCCATAGCAGGACAGGCCCTGCAGCAACTGGCAAAGTGGGTCAGTGGGTGACCTGTATTTGTGGCAGCGAGGACTCATTTGGGCTGCTTTGTCCTCAGTGAGGCAGAACCCAAATTTAGAAGAACAGAAACTGTTTGCCTGCCTGCTGTATTGTCTATTAGAAAATTCATTCTCTGTCACACTTGGCAATCTCTAAAAATAAAAACTGGGTATAACTAGAGTAATGGAGCTGAGGAAAATGATATTCGGGTAGTCCTAAATAATCACCCTCATCTTCATTTCTATTATCTGTTGAACCTGAAATTGCCATGTGCTTGTATTTGAATATGAATTTTGGTGTTTTCTCTGCCCCCTCATTGTAAATTTGTAAGCAAATTAATTTGGCTAATAATAGCCTAATCAATGACCCTAGTTAACAGGGAGGTTGCTTTAACAGTGCAAGTAATGATTCCTGCATATTAATTTTATGAGGCTCTGAGGCTTGTAATTAAATTACTGCAGTTACTGTAATTACCAGGTGTTGTTTCAGAAAGCTTTTCATCACTAAGACTCCAAACACTGTTTTCTGGATGTAGATCTACATCATGTGTTTTCAGATATGCAGATCTTAGGTATATACTACATAGAAGGATGCCTGCGAAGGATGGTGCAGGGGTTTTTCCATGTATTTCCATTCAAATCCAGCATCTGCTGGACTAGACAACTTTAAATGACCTTAGGCAAGTCAGTTCCATTGAAAGCACTGAGATGTCACCATCTCCAAGTGTTGGCATCTGTTAAATGCACTTTTCTGTCACGGGAGTGCAAGGAGGGTAAATTCATCTCGATCAGTAGTGCTCCGTGGCCCCGGTGGGGCTCACTGCTCCAGCTCCCGTATGACACGAGAGGTTTCTGTGGCTCCTTCTGCAGAGAGTTTGCAGCAGGCAGCTCTGCTTGGCTTTCTGCAGGCTACCTCACCGCACCAGGCTCAGCACTCCACGGTGGACGTCGGGCAGCTTCACGATCCCCAGACGTACACCCAGCACGCCATCCAGGTGCAGCACATCCAGGTCACGGAGCCATCCCCGACAACCCAGTCTTCATCACAGGTATCCCACTTTTTTTGCACAAGTGTTTTGTCTTGCACAGAGAGCTTTGCGGTTCTTGGGCTCGTTCTACCAAGAAATCCCCTGTTTTTCCTTGATAAGGAAGGTAGGATTATAACACCATAGAGTTGCGCTGATTAACACTTTTTTCTTATTTTTCCCCACCTCTCTCTCTGGCACGATGGCTTTTTAGGTTGGTGGTCAGCCCTGAGTCCTACGGGTTCTTCAGTGCAGCACACGTACCTTCCCAGCACGTGGAACTCATTTCGGAGCTATTGTAAGTGTCCATGGAACCTCTGCCTGGAAAAGACAGTAATTCCAGAGCTCATGAAGCTTCCTTAACATGCGTAAAGGTCTAGGAAGATGGGTAGTTATACACAAAAGAAATGGTTGTACAAGGGTATTGAAAGCAGCTTGTCTGAGCTCAGGGGGGGGCCTGAATCATACAGAAGAGGAGGGGGACATGAAATGACTACCTGTGACCATGCAGCTCTGGATAGTAATTTGGGGAATTTCTTCTCGAGGGAGAACAAGATCCGATTTAGCAGATAAGGGTCCAGCTCTTCAGGCCTATGTTAGTTGACATAATTCTGTTGAGGCCCCTAGAAGTAGGGGCTGCTTCTTATTTGGGTTTCTCCTCAGCAGCTGCTGTTGTTTCGGGCCCTGGGCTTGTTACATGTGTGCAGCACTATCACTGTTGCCTTTCCAGGTGGTCTCTGAGGTTATAACTCGAGGTAGTGATTCTCTAATTTCCCTTTTCTAGCATCTGAGATTCAGATGATGGCCATTCCCCAAGGCCAGTATGTGATTGCAGAGACAGCTGTAGGTACTCCTGTCACGACTGTCAACACGGGCCAAGTGAAAGCAGTTACTCAGGTAAGGAACATGATCCTGTTTTGGTTTGGTGTTTTGGTGTCTGTTTTGCTTTTGTAGCCACAAAATAACGCATCGTGTTTAAAACCTTCACTTTGAGGATTAAATGAATGCCAGAATGATGATGGGTGGCCCAGAGAGCAGTTGCGTATTTAAACAGGTCCAGATTGTGTAGTTCAAAGGAGAGTTATAGAAGATGTGAGGTGAAACACCACAACTGCTTCTCTTTTATTATTCCCTGTGCAGACTCACTACGTGATATCCGAAGGTCAGCCTGATCTGGATGCCAAACAAAACTCGGCGCTCTCCGGCGAGGTACAGGTCGGTGTCTCCCAGCCGTCAGGCCACACTGATACCCTGGAATCTCAAACGAGCAATCAGCAGCAAACCACCCAGTACATAATCACTACAACCACCAATGGGAACGGGGGCAGTGAAGTGCACATCACTAAGCCACGGACTTTCTCAGCAGAGCATGAATGAAGAAACCCTGTGGCGTCATTTGCTCGTACTTTTTGACCTCCCCCAAAAGCCCAAACGTGTGGGTGTCCTGGAGCTCGTGGGATTTAACGTATATGCTCCCTTCAGCTAAAACCTTGGAGCTCTTGTTAATGCTTTAAGAGGGCTTAAGTCCCCTGTGACAATGAAGTACCACCCTCAAAATCCTTCTGGGATGCCACTTTATGCAGCTTTTAACAAAAAGGACAAGAAGAGAAATGGAATCTCTGCTTGCCCTGGACTTCATCTTTTTTGGCATGTCTGCTGTCCCTTATTTTTCCTTTTTGGAATCTTCGCCAGTAAACAACACTTAATTTGGTGGTATGGGAAAAAGCTTGCCTGGCTGAAGGCTCACTGGCAGATTATGTTCTATGTATATTTTCACTAGGAGCCGTTAAACAAGAGGACATCATGTAAATTGCTGGCATATGGCAGAACTGCTTCCTGTGTGTTTGTTTCAGCAGCCCAGGTGAAAGGGAAGGTACCGGCTCCATAGAGAGCAGACTGCCCGCAGAGCAAGAGCAGCAGCCAAGTGGTGACTCCTTGTGTATGTTTGTGGGGATCGATAGAGCATCGAAGCTGT